TTGAAATTAAAAAACATCCTAGTTTCAATAGAGAGGGAGGCTGGGTACTACCACCTGCTTGGGATCCTGTAATTCATAAAATTAAAACTAAACCCAAGCATACCACTGTAAGACTTCAAGACACAGTTAGTTCATTCTGCGTAGATCGGACCAAAATTAATAATTAAAAAGCTGAAGGTACTCCGGGTTAACTTTGACATCGGGACGTCAATCACCTCAGTCCCCCGTGACCACGGTTGCTGGAAAGCAACCGAAACGTCGGGAATATAAAATAAGTAAATTAAACGCGATAAAATCCGTAAAAATAGTTTTATTCAATGTGTAGTGTTCGCGTAAATATAAGAAATCATTACCTTTCGAGTGCTTTGCAATAATATTAACGGTATGGAATGTGTCGAATATGTCGGCATATGCACGTGAATCAGAGGCATCATAGTTGTAACCCAATATAACTCAATCCAAGGTATTAAGCATACCATGCCATGGATGCGTGGCTGGGGGGGGGGGAGGAGGAGGGAGTCCATTCCAGTGCCTACCCAAGACCAGGGCAATTCTGGTGGTATTTTAGCCCTTCCCACGGCATGCGTGGTTCTGCTCGTTTCCCTAGCTACTCGTCAGACCAAAATGGACGAAGATCGACATTTTGAAAATATTAACTCTCCTTTAATAGAACTGACTGTAGGTCTGGAAAAAGCTCTTTTAGCCTTACCATCACCCTGCAACCCTACGCCTCAACCTGGGATGAGCCGAGAAGTGGAGGGCACGTCTGCAGCCGAACCACAGTCGAAAACGAACCAGAGAGGGGAAAAGAAAAAGTTCACTAGGCCTTCTAAGCTTAGTGGGGCAGCACGGAAGAGGTACCAAAGGCCCTTTCTCTCTACCAGAAGCTCTGGGACGAAATTCCTCTGCCCAAACCTCCCCCAGTTCCGAAGGCTAAAAAACGCAGTTGGTCTGAGGAAGGAGTCCCCCAAAGACCAGCCTAGGAAATCTGAGAAGCTGGCAACGGGGGAGAAGAAGCTCAGCTTTAGTGCCGTAGCTGGTTACGCGTGTGTAGGAATTCGCCATTCGAATCCTATGAGCATGGAGCAGATGTGGCTGGTCCAACGGGCACTAACGCGGGTTATTGCTAAGACGGCCTGTGAAGCGCAGCCGGGAATGGGACCAACATTTTTGGGTTTCACTCACAAGACAGGTTGGATTCTGGTAACGTGACTGAATAAGGCAAGCCAGGACTGGATTGTGGGTGACATCGGAAAACTGAAACCCTGGCCGGAGGCAGAGATCTCGATAGTACCCGAGAGCGAACTACCTAAGCCTCAACTGGGCATTAACTTTCTGCTCCGCAGCGCAGCTGACTCTCTAGAGGAGGCGGCTGTGCTGTTGAGGGTACAAAATGAAGGACTCCATACCAAGCTCTAGAAAATCCTCCATCGCATAGACGAGGAGAATGGGTTCCTAGTAACCTTTTCTCTGAATGACCCATCGGCGGAGGCTTTCCGAGCGGCAGGCGGCAGAGTCGACCTTGGCTTTAAAATGATAACTTTTAATGTCAGAGGAGTTTTGGACGTGGCAATGGAGCCTGAACTATCCCCACTCCAATCCTCCCAGCCCTCCACCTCGAGGAGTAAGATTGGAACGACATCAGTGAACGTGACTGTGACCCAAGGCGCTGACCTCGCCTCGGTCCGAGGGCCTCTGCTGTCGGCCATGGGTAAGGGGAAGGGAGGTGGGAGCGGTAGACCAAAAGGTACGGGGGGGGGGGGGGTCAAGAGCGCCTGTAAAGGACGTCTTCGTCCTAAGCAGGAGAAAACGACCCCTGTCGCCCTACGTCTATAAATGGCTAAACCCAAAGGTAAGACGAGGGTCCAACTAGCAAATCTTCACCATGCCGTGGTGGAGGTTTGCTTCGCAGAGGACAACATCGACCTCCGACCCGTGAAGACTTTGAAGACAGTGGTACCATCAAAACCAAGACCACGAAAAGTTCCTTTGTGGAACACTGAGCTAAAGCAGCTTAGGGAGAAGACCATAAAACTATTCAATAGGGCTAAAAAAACCAAAGAATGGGATGTTTGTAGTGCAGCCCTAACCGATTATAATAAAGAAATTAGAAAAGCTAAGAGAGCATCGTGGAGGAAGCTATGCGAGGAAGTTGAGTCTTTGTCTCGCAGTGCAAGACTACACAAAATGCTATAGAAAGCTAAACCTAATCAGATCGGGCTTCTTAAAAAGCGTGATGGTAACTTCACTAATAGTGAAACGGAAACACTAGAGCTACTAGCGTCTACCCATTTCCAGGGTCACATATGACTATGGCCTCTAACTCTTTCAGAGTCCTACGAAGGCCTTGTAATGAGGACTGGTAGGGCTACAAAGATAATAAGTCCAAACTTGGTGCAGTGGGATGTTGACTCCTTTAAAGCATATAAGGCAAATGGGAAGGATGGAATAATGTCCATCCATCTATAGAAGGGTATCGATAGCCTTCTTCCTTATCTGGTAAAAATCTTCAGAGCAAGTTTTGCATGGGGATATATTCCAGAACGATGGACAATTGTCAAAGTTCTATTTATACCTAAGGCTGGTAGAAAGGACTACGCTTTATCAAAAACCTTTAGACCTATAAGCCTTTCTTCCTTTCTTCTTAAGACATTGGAAAAGGTTATAGATAGATATATTAGGAATGTAGCTCTAGCTACGAGACCTATACACTACAACCAGCATGCTCATGATCAGTGTTATTGACGTTGTTGACAGGGTCGAAAAAGCGCTGGAGGATAACGAAATAGCTCTTTGTGCCTTTCTAGACATTGAGGGTGCCTTCGACAGTAGCCTTACATCACTGCTGGTTTGGGGCCTGACATCTAAAAATGTTGACCCCACAACCATCAGGTGTGAAGTAGTCGATGCTCTCAAACAGAAAGGCAAAAATAGAGCTGTTTCAAACTGCGATTGAGATTGCAACTGCAAGAGGCTGTCTACAAGGTGGTGTTTTGTCACACCTCCTTTGGACCATTGAACTTTGACCAATTATCATACAAGGCCTTCGCATTGACACACTGGGTTATGCTGATGACCTTGTGATCAAGGGGCTTTTCCCAAAGTACTTTATCATTAATCATACAAAGAGCCCTAAACACGATAAACAACTGGTGCAGGGATAACAGTTTATCTATTAATGCTGATAAAACTGTTATAATATATACTTTACCAAAAAGAGACGGTTGGACAAATTAGTCACACCAAAACTTAATGGTAAAAAAGTACCATTCGCCACTGAAGTTAAGTACTTGGGCGTAACAATCGATAAAAACTAACGTGGAACTCTCACCTTACCAATGAATGTCATAAGGATAAAATTGCTTTAGATTCGTGCAGTCGCATGGTCGAGAACAACTGGGGCTTACGTCCCAGTATGATCCTATGGCCGTACAGCAGTATAGTGAGGCCGATTCTTACCTACGCCTTCACTGTCTGGTGTAATAAGGCTAAACAAAAGTGACCCTGGAAACTCTTTACAACAATAAATCACTTAAGATCTGGTCTAAAGAGAATAAAACCCAATATATTTAAATACAATGTAATGTTTATATACCCGACTGCGAGACGCAAAGTAGGGTCATTTATTTATCAGCCTCTATATGTATGTAGTTTTGCTCGTTTGTGGCGCTCTAGAGATTTTAATGATACTTACGTCAATCAACTTGTCTTAATCTTGTGAGTGCTCGCTAAAAACATGACAGTAATCAAAATTCTCGTCGTCTCGTGGTCGCCATATTGCTTAGAGTAATTACATACTTTTTTATAGAATAAGGGTGGCAAAAGACCAAACAGTCCACCTGATGATGAGTGGGTGCTGTGACCCATAGACGTATACATTTGTACTCAATTAAGAATCAAAATATAGGTGTGTTCCCCCACTTTATCCCTGACGACTAAGATGGAATGCCTGGTTTCCAGTAAAAAGGGTCTCAGGATCTCTACAATCACTATACGAAACGAACTAATATAACTGCAGTGTGGCTCTACCACGTTAGAATACATACATATTGTGAAAAAGAAAAAAATTAAAGTCAACGAACCATGTCAAGTTCAATAGTTCTATATAGATTATCTTTAGGCTTCTCTAATCATTATCATTTTTCATTAACTATAAATTTTAGATAATATCATAACGAACGAACGACGAGTAGGTTAGAGTATCAAACATTCTTATTTCTCATACTATCATATAATTTAGTATACCATCTCGTAGGTATACCACATATAAAATAGCTAGAGAGGCGATATGTGAACTGCAATTCCTAATCAACCAAGTGTGACGATTTCCGTAGACTGGAAGATGATGCTAACCGTGCAGTGGCGGTGTAAGAATATCCACTGCTCCATAGCGTGCCCTGGGTGTCGTAAAAGGCGACAAAGGGAATCTGAACCAGGAAATAGGCAGCAGCATCTTTCTGACGACAGCAGAACAAAATTAAAAAATGGCTTCTGCCAACCCGCTTGCAAAGCGTGGCAACTATGGCAAATATCCCTGGATAATCTGTGGAGGAGGCCTATGTTCAGAGGCATGATAGACTATTATTTGCCGATGTAGACCTATTAGATTTCTCATGTGCCCGATTTCATCCACATTGTTAAGTTACAGATACTTTGTATTAGATATAATGTACATGTATACGTAAGTAAATGAATGTATCTACTATGTATATATATATATATATATATAAATTAATTATAATGTTAACATATTATGAGTATTTATATAATGTGTTTATTTATGTTTTATATTTATTTGTATTATATATTTGGTAACTTAAATTAATTTGTATATTTCTCATTGGTTTGTTTTTAGTTTTTATAATATATCTGCACGTAATGTGCACAAACACAACTAATGCACGGACATGCGCATTTCCTCACTATCTGATCTGACTTACTGCGTTCCAGCGTTTTTAAATAAATAAATTGTGTAATTGTATTGTATTGTACTATTGCAGGTGTGATCGTGATACTAGCGCTGCAGTTCTTCACGCAGTACTTCGAGTTCATCCCGAAGGCGGCGCTCGCTGCCGTTATTATCTCCGCCATCCTGTTCATGGTGGAATACGATGTGGTGAAGCCAATGTGGCGCGCCAAAAGTAAGTCGTTTGCTATCTCTGGTATCTCTTAACTGTTAGCCACCAAACATTCCAGAGGTGGAACAAAGCGTTTTCGGTCATCTACACTCACCATACGCGACACAGCAGCATTTATCTGCTATTTTATTATGGTATTCTGTGAGAGCGTGGTCCTTCCTCGGTCGAACTGACCAATTCGTGGTACAAATATAATATAGATGCAGCATGTCTCTAACACGTAAACGCGTTTACCGTCATTATTTTTAATGATGGTAAAGGTTTAGATGATGGTGAAGAAGGTGACGAAGTTGAAGCTAAAAGATGAGCACATCGTCCCACTTGGTAAGTGGATGCTGGGGCTCATTGATACGAGTATCCATATCTGTGGATCATCAATTAAGGATCAAAATGTTGTGGCTCATCTTCGTAGATATTACATTTCCTTTCATATTCATTGTTGAAAAGCTTCATATTATCATATTTACATTACTATTTACAATCTTGATACTGGGTTCTAAATTCGAATATCAATCGAAGCCAATATGTTGCATTCATGTGGGTTTAGAAACTAATGTTTTAATCTACATCTTCTTCTCCTTATTTAAAAAAAAAAGTTACCCCCACACTAGGATTTTCACACTAGGAGGCAGTTTGCAAACATAAATTGCACGAGGAGAAATATCCAGACCCGGAACAATTATTCGTAGGCCATACAAATACTTGTTCTGTGCGGGATTCGAACCCGCGGCCCCCAGCGTTGCAACTCATTGATAAGCCACTGCAATATAGATTGACGTGCTTTTTTGCGACTGCCTCGTTGATCTAGTTGTCGTTCGCAACTGCTACTGATCATGAGGTCTCGGGTTTGAATTCAGAGTCGGGCCAAAAAAATCAGTTATTGAGTTTTTCTGTCATGAAATTATCAGTAGCTGCCCGGAGTCAGGAAGTTGGCTGTATTTCACTTCTTTGCCCGGAAAGGACGTTTTAAAGCCGTTGGTCTTGCGCCTGATCTCTCTCCGGTCGTGTCGGATTACTGTCCCATCGGACCATGAGAGCTCACTCTCAGGAATAGAGTGTACCTGTGCTTGCTTATAATCCTGTCCTCTGTTGAGGCTGACCGCCATGACCGAAGTTCGTGCTGGAGGAAGAATATTATTATTATTGTGCATATTTTGGCTTTGCCGAACTACTTCTGCAACTTCTATTGAACTTATGGCATATAATGTGTGTGTTAGTGATAAATAGAAATAAGTTTTTTAAACATTTTAACGTATATAACATTGGTTGTACTCGTTGTCAGAGTTGGACCTGGTGCCGGGTGTGGGTACGTTCGTGCTGTGCCTGACGCTCCCCATCGAGCTCGGCATCCTCACCGGGGTTGTTGTTAACATCATCTTCATCTTGTATCACGCCGCGAGGCCCAAACTCTCCGTCGAGATGCTCAAGGTAAGCACTGTCGCTTCCACAGTGATCTAGACACACAATTGTGTGTATTTAAACGAGCCATTTCAAGTCACTCTCGAACCTCCTATAATTCAAAAAGACTTATACTTTTACACTTATTATTTTACATAACTATCAAAATATTTAAAAAAATTAAGCAAAAATTTTTCAATTAGAATTATTATACTATATTTAAGAGTACATATTTGATAATAACCCCTGGTAATAAGGTGATCATACTGTTACTAAATGTTTTCATGTTTAATTGTACTTAAACATATTATATTTTAAATTATTGCAAAAAATAGTTGCACTGGGTTTCTTTTCCGATCTTCCTAGAACATGTTTTTTTTCTACCCAGTGGCAAAAGCACAAATGACTTTCAGTAAGTATTCTTGTTATCTATATTGAATAAAATCTAAATGAACCTGTTGTAGTTCTTGAATTATTAAGCTCTGAAAAGTGTAATTTTTATCACTCACTGATTCGCTCATACAAAATCTACGCCATTTATAGCTTACTTAGCTAACTTTACCAAGGCCAAAGGTTAAGATTTAAAATCTGCAAGTTAGAAATTATTGTTATTTCGTGTCGAAAAACTATCGACAAAGTTATTGGTGCAATGAGTTCATGGTACTGTATTTGAAACTATCCGCATCAATATTTTTTTCTACATTTAATTCTTACAGTTTGGACTAGAAAAGTAAATGGCAAAACGCAAATGCAAGAAAAAGTTGAAGGTCGACTATTTATTTAGATTTTTAAAATAATTAATTTTTATTTGATATTTAAAAAAAATATATAAATTTGAAAAGGGAGCTAATGTCGGTACAAACGACATAAACGACATATGTCGGGGTTGTCATCTCCGCCTCCTAAAAAAGAGTAGAGATCTATTCGAGCACCAAGCTCCACAGCTTTTACTTAAATCTATAGGAATGTACAACTTAGTTGTATGTACAGTTTTGGCCACCTTTTCACATTAGTGTTTTTGGTGTGATATAGATATACCGTACATGTTGAGAAATTGTATGGCGTAACTACTGTACTGAGTGTTATGTTTTTAATATATTTTTAATTAGGCAGCTAAATGGTCAGATTACTTGGCGTGCCCTGGATTCAAATCTCTTTGGGTTTTCCCCTCGGTTTCTGTTGTTCTCGTGCCTATGGTAATGGAAATAGGCCTGTAATCGATAATTTTTTATATCCCCCACACTGTAGAAAATAAATGACGTTTGAAAAACACTCAGAACCGAAATTGTAATAATAGCAGGTAAAAAATCTAATGTATGTTATTCTAGGTATTCAAATTGAAATCAAGGTTACTAATGCTGAATTGATAAGCAACAATATTCATTTTGCAAAGCAGGTGATACGGGTAACCTAAGATTTGGGATCTCGCGCGTCGCTACGTGACGCGACCCTTTCAAGGATAGTAATGTTTTGAGACTCCATCGTAGTTTCTTTTTGAGAACATCATGTAGGTACGTACGGCAAAATATACTCTTTAATACAAATGACTCGCTCTGGCTTCACATGGATAGGAGCCATTAATGTGACGTTAATTTAGATTTACGAGTACGTTAGTCAAATACCATTTATTTTATCAATTTCTCGTTTTACGAAGAAAATCTTTAAAGGTTTGGATAAAATTTTGTCCAGATCGCTCGTGTCAGTACGTAAAGTTTTATCACAATCGGTGCTGCCATTCCGAAGCTAATCCCGGACAGACAGACCAACATTTAGAAAATTGAATAAAAATTATTTTATGTTTTAATGGCTTGCAAATAACCCTTTCAGTTTTCTTAAATGACCGTTGTTTAGATATAACAGACAGCCTATTCAATTTAATTTACATGTTTAAAAAAAAAACGTACTGTCTCCTGTAGAACGGTTCGCAGTGATACGTTAGACGTTCCTAAATTTAAATTAGGTAGCTAAACACCACTCACCACCAGGTGGGAATATAGTTAAGCACTGGATGGAAATAAGTTAAAAAAATATAAACTAGTGATTGCTATAATATTAGACTAAAACGAAACAAAATGAATGAATAGAACTAAATAAAACAGTTACTCTAGTTTAAACTAATGAGTCATAGAAAAGTAAACAAGTTAAAAAGATGAAAGTCCTTTAAAAGGAATTAGGTCATGTGAGTTTTGAAACTGATAGCGATATGAATTGCTGTGAGTAATAACATAAAAATATATACAACTCGTAAAACTGATCTCGACGATCACAAGTCCTATTTAGGCTGTAACTAGCCTTGACATTTGAATACGGAAAATGTAAATGTATTTATAACAAAAACATACCTAATCTTTCTTTTGCCGTAAGCGATAAATCAAGTTAGTCAAGGAACATGGATAGACAGATAAGAAATTTTTTATTGCACTCAAAATAATTGGTACAAAGGCGAACTTGACGCCAACAAATGTAGACCTGCCCCATACGTAGATTGCTTCATGAGAATATTTGTCACAGTTGCCGAATTAGCAGGCGGGTTGGATGCTGCGGTATTTTTTAATTATTTGAGCTCTTAACAGGAAGATGCTGCTTTCCATGTCATGTTTAATTTTTCCTCTGTCGCCTGACCCCTTTTACCCACCGCAAGCCGATACTACTACACAATAAAAAATCCGCAAAATGATATAATTTAGTAACACAGAAATAAATCTTATTAGGAAAAACGACAAGACAGGCGTTTTTATCGACGTAAGTGATCTCTGATACTAAGAGTTGTATAGTCATATTCGGTATTGGACCTATTAAAAAAAGGAGGTTTACAATTCGACTATTAACTCGGCTGTATATTTTTCTTATGTCGGTATATTATGCTACGTCGATTACGAATATTTTTCTTTTTTTAATAAAACGTCATACTTCAGGAGTGGTCCTATATAAACTTGGAGAAAAAAACTAGACCGCTGAAGGTGGCAGAATAAGAAGAAAAAAAACATTTAATGGAACTACTGAGTTGATTTCTATTGACTATCTTTTTTCACACACAGAATGTGGACTTATTCTAATATTTTTAGTTTTTGAAATAATTAATAGACATAATATTATTATTGTAGCAAAAGGGAGAGAGTGACAAAATTTAACTGTGTAGTGGTGGTATAACAGAAAGAGAAACAGAATCTTTTTTATTAAATTAGAAGAAGATTGTATATAATTCTTACTAAAAGTTTCTTTTATATAGTTTAATTTACCACTGGTTCGGAAAATGCCTCTATCCAAGGAAGAACCAGCAGGAATCTCAGCGCGACATGGTTTTTGAAAAAAAAAACAGTTTATAATAATATATTTTATACAATTAACAACACAAAACAAATTAGAAATAGGTAGGTAGCGATACCATCATTCCCAAGGTTATTATCATTTATAAATCCCTACTAATTATGTATTAGTATGTAAGTTTACTATAAAACACGAAGTATATAAGCTCAATTAATAAGTTCAACCATATTTTAGTACTTTTCTTCCATTAGCATTAAATATTTTAGATTATTTAAATTTAGTTATTTTTTGACAATTACTCGCATGTTATTTCTACCGACTTCAAAAAGGAGGAGGTACTCAATTCGTCTGTATATATTTTATGTGTGTTATAACTTTTTACTGGTTGAACCAATTTCGATGATTATTTTTTTATTTGAAAGCTGGTGCTTCTCATGTGGTCCCATATAAATTTGATCAATGTCTGACTAATAGTTTTTGAGTTATCCTTAATAATTATGTTGAAGTCGGTGTACAACATTTTTAATTTTAAATTATATTATTACAATATCGTTTCAAGGACTAAAATAAAAGTTTATGTGCGAAAATTTTAAAACAGAAGAAAAGGACTTAGGGCCTTCTTGAGCTGGGCCATTCAATTTTCTCCTAATCTAAAGGTTGTCTGGAAGAGATCACCTTTTAGCGATAATACTGCCTTATTGTACCTACCTCCTGAGTTTCTCTCTCTCCCTTAATCTGTTTTTTATCGTTTTTGTGGTGTACAATAAAATATATATAATAATTATTATTATTACTATCCTTTTAGTCCATTACAGCCTATAAGAGTCCACAGCTGAACATAGGCCTCCCCCATAGATTGCCTCTGATTGGGGAGATTTTGCTTTAGTTGCCACGCTTTGTTGGCAATCGTAGTTTTTTTAATTATTTTCAGTTATCATCAGGAAGACGCTGCTGTTCATGTCTTACCTCTGTCGCCTCTTACGTCACTCATGGGAAGATATGGACTAGTGGATATTCTAATACCTTCATGTACACGGTGAATAATATTATAATAACCCTTTTTAAACAAATATAATTAGTGGAGTAATGCGGTGTTGCGTTGTGTGTGTGTGCGCAGACGGAGGCTGGCGTGGAGTACCTGATGATCACGCCGGACCGCTGCCTGATGTTCCCGTCGGTGGAGTACGTACGGCGGCTGGTGACCAAGTGCGCGGCGGGCGGCGATGTGCCCGTGGTGATCGAGTGCACGCACATCTACAGCGCCGACTACACCGCCGCCAAGAGCATCGAGCAGCTCACGGCTGACTTCCACGAACGCCACCAGCCGCTCTACTTCTACAACGTGAAGCCGTCCGTGTGCTCCATCTTCGAGGCGGTGGCCAAGCCAGAGCACTTCGTGGTGTTCTACGAGGACGACGAGCTGGACCGCCTGCTGGCCGCCGACGGACGCGTGCCCCCCGTGAAGCCGCCGCCGCTACCCTGAGCGCATAACACATACCCGCTATGCGCTCAGGGCGCATATATCCTGGTAGAGCCATGCTGCAGTTATATTATAGTTGTAGCATGAATGAGTCGGCTCGACTGGGGAAGGATCACGTTCTCACAGACCAGCGTAACATAGCAGCTTGATGCTGCTGTGTTTCGTATGGTGAATGTAGAGAACCGAAGACCCTTTTTAACCGGATAGCATTCCATCTTAGTTCCCAGGGATGAAAACGTTCTGTATTTTGATTCTTAATCGTGGATAAATATAGATGTCTAGGGGCCACAGCATCCACTTATCATCGTGTGGACTGTGCGCTCACAGGTCAACATTATTCAATAATAAAAGATTCATTCCTTTGTAAATATCATGCGTTAGTTTGAACGAGCTTTTCGGCGATCGGTGCCCGGGGCGTCGATGTAAAACTAAGAAAGTGCTATATTTTGGTAGGAGTTTTGGGAGGTCGAAGGCTGTACGGCTGTGATGGGGCGCCGAGCGAAGCTTAAGCCCGATGTTACTTAAGGTTATGTACTTACTGTCGACTTCGCGGAGCTTTATTTTTGTATAAAACTATATTAATTTTAGGAGAAGGCGTCCGCGCGCCTCTCGCTGTTGTGATTTTAGATGTTAACTATATTTATATTATGTCTATGAATTGATCAGTTTCTATCGCACGTTCTTCGCAGTTTGAACAATAAAAATATTTTGACTAAATCGCTAAACTAAATGGTCGTGATAGTTGTAGACTTTATAAGTGAGTTTATTTATTTTTAGGTCACTAAAGTACAACTTAGGTTATTCTAACTGTATATGAAAGTATGCACGAGGGGTAGCATCCTGCTCGCTGCAGTGCCGTAAGTGTGTATGTGTGTGTATGGGCGGGTGCGTATGTGTATGTGTGATTTTGACGATTAGAAGGCACACAAGTAAATGGGGCCATGCGGCCCTCACTGTCATATTCCTGTAGATATCAGTTATTTTGTGATTCAAAACTACAGTACCTTCATATAATATAAATAAAAATATATTTTAAAGAAAAGCTTAAAGCAGTAAATTAATATACATTTAAATTGTAAACCTTAAGGTGCCAATGTACATGACGACCGTTTCCTGAGTTCCAAGAACAAAATAAATTAAACTCTTTAAGAGTGTTATGAAATTGTTTCGTTTTATTTACTGCGCTCTTCGCTTGACACAAATAGCTTATCACCTTACGTCCTCGTCACCCGCAGGTGAATTGACATTGACCTGCATACAGTACGGGAGGTCTTATGTATTTCCTTAAACTAAAACAGAGAGCCCACCGAAAAGCTGACTTGTGTGTGTAAGTATGCTTCTCTTCAGCCATGAAAACCTAACTAAATTGTTAATTTGGCGGATGTTAATTTTCAGAAATGCATTATTTATAATAATGAGAAATATGACATATTATTCGTTACTTAATAGAATTGTAAAGAACACCTTATGTATATGGTACAACATGTAACAAAAACCCTGTGGTTCCCGTTAAGTACGTTATCAGGATCAGTATTCAAACCTATAGAAATAACTTTTTTTTAAAACTCGACCATATTTTTTTTATTAAATAAAGTAGTTTTTTTTTTTAATTTTATGTGGTTTTATTACCTCTTACTGACACTAGCCGATGCTAAAGCTAAGTAAAGCATTATTCAAACATATAGAAATAACTTTTTTTTTTAAAGTTATTTCTATATGTTTGAGTAATGACACAAGGTTTTTCATTATTCAAACGCATAGAAATAACATTTTTTTTAAAAGTCGAACAATATTTATTTTTATATTATTTAAAAAAATTATTGTATGCAAATTGTATGTGGTATTATTACCTCTGCATTGTCTGGGGAGAAAGAGGATTGTCAAAGACCCCGCTTTACTTAGCTTTAGCATCGGCTAGTGTCAGTAAGAGGTATATATATATATATATATATATATATAAACAAGTTAATACAAACAATTAATTAACAGAACGTTATTTCAATATAATTTAAGAAGTCCGATACTGACTAATACTCGTAGCATCTTTCCAATAACAAACAAGTAAAACTCCTTTCTATCGACTTCAAACAGGTAGTCAATATGATTGTATGTTTGTGTGTGACCCCATAACTTCAGTCTTTCAGTCTAGGTTCGGTTCACCTATCGATGATTCTTTTTTTTTTTGTAAGCTGGTGCATTTTTGATTAAGGTCTGACTTATAGTTTTTAAGTTATTCTTAATAACTTAAATTGCATCGGTTGTACAAAAATTTTAATTTTAATTTATTAATTATTCTAATGGGTTGTTATTTACCACATTTGCAATTTTATTATAAACTAGCTGTGCCCGCGGCGTAGCTCGCGTATATAGGTTTTACTTGGAGAATTTGACATTCAGGTAAGAAAATATTAAACGATTTATATCATTACTGTATCAATATCACTTATTAGACGTCAGTGTAACAGACGTCTCTGGTTAGTGCGTATATACACTAAGCGCTCCGTCTCTATTTTCGCATACATGTCCACTATAAATTAGTAAAACAACCCCCGAAATCTTTGCAGATACGCAAGAAGATATATGCCTTACATGTAACAGGTGCGAATAAAATTGCAGAGTAAATATTTTTTTATTAAAATTGGTCTCTCTGGTATTAGGATTAACTTGATAAATTCCGAAATTGTACCCATTTGCACCGTGACAATATATTAATTGATATTGTAGAGCATCATAATATCGATACGTTTCGTTTCAATAATCCCAGGCAGTCGATCGTCATGTGTGTGCAACATGATGTCACGTCTATCGCACTCTTGGTCAACTAATACCACTTCCACTTCATCAGTGACAAGAACGTTGCTACCGCGGTGTTCAGTAACTTTTTTTTTTAGTAACAAGACGTCTGTCAGCGTTAATAACTATTTTATAATTGTTTATTAAATCTTGACGGATCGATTGCAATGCAACCCTAAAACTATGAACGTATGGATTTATTTCATGTAGCATCCTTTGAAGTTAGGATATGAATTCGCTATTGACTTGTGGGAAGTTGTGATTTCAGATATTAGTATGTTCATTATAATCTGATACAAAATAAATTGACTATTTTACTTATATATACATATATATATATATATATATATATATATATATATATATTTATAACTCATAATAAAGTCATAATATACATCATTTAATTTAATTTATTAAGTTGAAATTGAAATGAAAATATATAATATCTACATTGGTTCTGGGTAATGTATGGTTATATGTGAGACTGTGACTGCACGCCAGTGAGTCTCAATACGATACGGAGTATCTTAACGCCGCAATTCAGAAAAGAATGTAATTTGTGCAATGCCATCTATTACGTTCGTTGTGAGAAAACTTTTTTAATTTAAGGAAAACATCTTCTTTATTGTTTACTTTGTTTTAAGTATAAATATATTATTATAGAACGTTTTTGTACACACAAATCTTTTTATTACCATTGAACAAATTAGAACCTACATTTTAAACTAATAATCATAACTTTCGATAGAATTAACCAAATTTAATAAAACAAAAATTAAATGTAACTTGAAGATACGCTTTATGATTTTCTTAACGATTTCTTTTTAAAAAAATGTTTACTTTAGATGTGATGCGTTTATAAACAAACAGACAGACAGACAGACAATTCTAAAAATTATAAAAATGTGTTTACTTAATTATTTTCATTTCCCTATAATGATTTTAGTGACAAATATTCTATACAATGTACAAAAACAGACACAACATGTTATCACCATTTTTATTATAAGTATATATTTAAAGAGAGATGGCGCTGCTAACAGCAATCGATTCTAAAAATAAAAGAGATTAATTGACGCGATTGTTACATTATTATATATATAAAACATAAAATAACTTATAAACCAGTGTCTGCATAGTAAGCAAAACGCCTTTTTATATTACATTTGGACCATACCGCCATCTATCGATGAAATTGATTAACTATTTCACTTTAGATTTAGTTAATAAGGTTATAATATATTTTTGTATATTATTTTATTTAATACGTTCTTTAATACTTTTGTTTACTGCGTTTTAGATATAATTATATCATTATAGAACATTATTTTACCCAATTTAATTATTATGATTTATGATATAGTATTAGTTTAAAATGCACTTGATGACTCAACCAACGCCACCGTTGAACAAATTCGTACCTATACTTCGTATTCATACTTCAGAATATTTATCATAACTTTTGATTGAATGAACTGATTTTAATAAAATAAAGACTAAATGTAACACAAAGATACACTTTATATTTTCCTTAATGATTCTTATGATATAAATTAGTACTTTATACGTGATACGTTAACAAACAAACAGACAGACAGACAGAAAATTCTAAAAATGGTAGAAATGTATTTAGTTACTTATTTTTAGTACCTCTCAATCACTTTTATTACAAAAATATAAAATGTACAGACGTCTGCTTTTTACATTTTTATTATATGTATAGATGACAGGTGCCATGCCCATAACATTTTTTTTTAATAAAGCTGTTTGAAATCTCCCTGTGTACCTACAATAAGTCTATATTGCATTCTCGTAGATACCGTACTTACTCTAGTTTATAATTTATGGCCTTTGAAAATAGGGACACAACTATCTGTAATCTTTAAATTGAAGATTGCTCTTATGGAGCGCTTTTGGGCTTTGAAAATGCTTTCTCTATCGCCACAGTTGCTCCAAAATATAATACCGTATCTTAAAATGGAAACTACCAGGCCATGGTAAGCTACTAGCACCGTTTTGACACTGGCTTTTTTGTCAGGTTATAGCGTGTCAGATTTTCTATTATATTACTTTCTTCAGTATACTATTATCATCACCATTACAGCCCTTCACAAGTCCACTGCTGAACATAGGCCTCCCCCAAGGAATGCCACAAAGCACGGTCCTGAGCTACCTGCATATATCGACTTCCTGCATGTCCTACTAGGTCG